AGTCCTCCAAACACGAAATTACACTCACACCCATTTACTTATGCACACACGCACTCGGTCAGTCATTCAGTCATATTCATGCAATGATCACATATACTTTCACACGCACTCGCTTACACAAACACGTCTACACACACCAATTCACACACACACACACACATACAGATTTGTCTTAACCGATTTGCCATTTCTTACAGCCGTTGTGACGAATGCCAACAGTCTGTTGCATGAAAGTCTGCTGCCAGGCGGACCCGCGCCGAGTATGCCGGAACTCACGTCAACCGGATCAAGCCGTCGCGGTTTCGCATGCTCCCCAGAGCACAGAACTCCATCCCTGTTGACTCGTCCCGGATCCGGCGACAACGTTGAAGGCAGCGGCAGTTGCGCTGGTCTCGGCGAGTCGATGGGCGGAGCGAGAGGTACCGGAAGTGGACTTGGAATCGGCACCGGCACCGGCGGTGGGCCCATCCATGCGACTGCCGGATCAAAGCTGCGGTAAGCAATGAAGCGATCATGACGCACCTGATCCAAGCAGAGGCTTCGGTATGCGATCCATTCACCCTAATTCATTTATGGTGATGAAGGATTGGTAGTCGAATTTTCCCGCTATGCTTTGAGTACAGTTGACCCTACCATTAACTTTCACAGACACTTGCTTTCCCAAAAGTTGTTCTCATCTGATGAGCTGAGCACTACCGTCTGGATGGATGGTTGCTGGATCGTTGAGTGGGCAAGTACAAAGATGGAGTGATGTATGAGTGGATAGGCTGCTGGCTGAATAGGTGGATGGATTGATAGACGAATAGATGGATCCACTTGATTAGCCAATGGAGGGACGTGAGCAGGTGGGAAAGAATGGGTATGTACAGAGAAGAGATGTGCATTAACAAGAGACGGAGTTGAATACCAACAGACCTGTCTCAGATGTACAACTTTGCGTGTCTTTTTGTCTGAGCGCTTCTCCCAAATTAGAATGTACTGGCATCTGGCGATAAGACAGACGTTACTCGAAAAGTTCATCTCTTCGTGCAATGATTTG